ATGACTGGAATAAAGAACGGCGTACTATATATCGTGACAGGAATCAAGGACGGCTTTTGTTGGATTGGAAGAGGAATCAAGAACGGAGTGCTGGCTACTATTTATGGCATTAAGAACGGGATACAAGCCACTGCCAGATATATTGCGGATCTCTGCTGCCGTATAGCGAATTGGTAAGAGACGCAGAGTTTTATTGAGTGTGATTGTTCAGCTTTCATGTATTAATCTTCGAAAAATACCCGGACAATGATGTAGCCTAGCATAATAATGGGCGGAGCGAGGCTAGATTGTCATGTACAATTAGTTCCCCTACACCGTTTAGGCATCGATTTTAGTTTGATTCATGAACAGTATTATTGTCATAAAGGTTTTGCCAGCAGTTGAAATCTGTGATTGTTGATTAAAAGGATTGTAGGATTCACATGAGAATCATCGAACCGACTAAGAATGGCATATACGCCATTGGACGATGGCTGAGATACTGGTTTTGTGCTTACTGGTGGCCAGATTTGAAGCAATGGATGAAAATCAGGGTGGGCGATGGAATTCTTGAATTACTTTCCACTTTATGGTTTTAATCTCTTAATCTCTTTATGAATAATTTTCAGTGGGTTTGTTGAAGTTTGCGCGATGTTACTATTTCTTTTTTGAATTTCTATTTTCTCGAACACTGTTTGCAATAAAGAAAGTTCACTACAACGCATAGTAGTGAAATATCTCCTGAGATTGTGCATGTTTGCTATGCTAATGACCGAAATCGTGTGATAATTATCGTCGGTTTTGGGATTTCCGGTGTTTTCCTAATCCTCACATCGGCACCTCGTTAACACTAGATCACATTCATAGCATATTGGCATTCTTTACGAATCAAACGCGCTAATCTAAAGAGAAACTTTTACTCTAAAGTAGTTACTTTCTTAATGCTAACAAGTAATGATAGGCTTCTTTTGGTTGCTCGAGAAAATTTCTAGATAATATACCAATCCAAGGTCAAGATCCAAGAATATTCGCATTTTGAGAAGTCAACATCTACATTTGCTGTTTTTCCGCTCTCGAACAATTTAACTTCCAACGTCATGTTGAAACAAAGTTTT